TGAAGCAGTGTATGACCGAAAATGAGTAAGATGTCATTTTGTAAGTTTTGAATTTATTGGTCCCCTATGGTATCGAATTCTGCGACCAATTTAAAAGAATTTCAAGGTGAAGCATATCGACGTGCGATGCGTACGTTACGCTTTATTCCAGAAAACGACGAACGTGTTCACACGTAATCTTTCGAGTTCATGTGTGCTTTTAAACAATGTCTAAGAATGAAACAAGCTTATGCTGAATAAGCATGATTTTATCTTATCGCGACATTAGTTGAGGGGGCTTTTTTTGTTTCATTCTCTCGCTCTCTTGAGCGTGCGTGCATCAAATCCGTGTATCACGTAGGCTTTCTGTGAATCATTCTCATATGATCCGCTCACTTTCTGATGAGTTATGGAATCGAGAAGGCTCACAAATATTTTCATAGCACAACAAGATGACCTCGTGTCGGGGATCCGTCTTCTTTTTGTCCTCAATTTCATTCCTGGGGCTTCTGTTTTGCGTGAATTTCCAACCGGTAAACGGTACTGATTTCGTGGTCAACACGAATTGCAATGAAACTCAGTTCGTTGAGGGTGAGAAAGAAGCAGCAGTTTCGTGTTCCTGGGAAGAGATTTCCGATGATGTCCATCAAGGACTCGTCGTTTGTCTGACGGAAATTTGTTCATCGAACCAAGAGCTTCTCGTGATTTCGTCCATCATCAATGAAAGTCAGGGGCTGGTGACAAACGCGACTGGTGTTGCTGGGAATTACTCGGAAGTCACGTTTTTTGTCACAGCCAGGAAGCTCGGGTTTGCTGAATTGTGGATGAACTTCTGCGTGAACTGTACCAGTGAGCAAATTCTGTTGTTTATAGAGCAGTGTTCCCCAAATTTTCTTGAGACTATTCGGACACCGGTATATGTTTCCAGAAATTTTTTAGCGGACCGGAAAATTTCCCAAAAATGGTCTGCGGACCAGCAAAGTTTCATAAAATTGTTGTAGAATAAAAAAAATTTGCTTGAAAGACTTTATGGTAGACATTTGACAAGTTTTCGCTTTTTTTGAAAAAAATAAGAACTGCTGATGAAGAAGCTAGATGGCGTAATATGTTTTCGAAAAATTAGAAAGGTGGGCTGGAAGAAAGGGTTCTCAGAATGAAAAATTGAAATAATCATTTCAGCAGGTGAACATTTTTCTGAAGGGCTATTCAGAGAAAAGTCTGAACTTTTTTATTGGTGTTTTTTTCCATCAGATAATTTAAATTTGTGATTTTCTTTCAAAAATTTCAGATAAAGAGAACAGAATTTATTGCTTCTTTTGATAAATTTACTATACTGCAGGAAATGTTCCATGGGCCTGCAAAAAAATTTCCGGCGCCGGTCCGCGGACCACTAGTTGGGAAACAGCACTGCTCGGGGACTGTTTTTTTTTTTCTTAAATGGGATGCAATCACTTTCAATCTCAATATACAGTGTATATGCTTTTTTTGTATGAAAGACCTGGTGGGGAAAAATATGTTTGACTGTTGAATTGGTTAATCTACAAGAAAACTCCTTTTCATCAACGGGAGCAAGAATTTCCTGATGCACACAGTGGAATTTAAAATTATAATTTATATGCAAAGTTATATTAATTTAAATTTCGCAGTTGTTTGCTTTACAAAAAACGCATACAATGACGGTTGGGCATTTTATTAAAATTCTTTAGGTTGAAAAAATGATGTGCATTACAATACTTTTTCACGTACAGCATAATAAACATGTTTTTTTGGCCGAAAAACTTGAACTCTCGTAATTTTTGAACTGAACCCTTTGAATTGTTCAACAGTTCAAAGAGAAAAATTCGAAAAGATTTGTATCATTTTTCTCTTCTTATATTATTGCTCTCTTATTCAAAATTTTAGAAGTTCAGAGAGTTAAGAACATGGACTCGTCAGGATTACTTTTATTCCGTACGAAACTAATTTAAATCTCTAATTTATACTGAAAATTTGCATAAAATGCGCAATTTGAAGGAGTGTATAATGGTGTTTTTGGAGTGGCTGGAATGGTACAAATATTTTTCCTCTGTATTACGGGAAGTTATGTTTCACAAAACAATTTTGTACTGTATAACATTAAATTCATCAAGAATTAGATTATTTGAATCATGCAGATTATTGTCAACTGACTTTGTGTAGACATTTTTTTCGGAATTTCAAAGGATTCTTGAAATCATATAGTTTTTTCCTGTCTTCAACTCCGACTTCTACATATACAGTACTGTACTGCATATTCCGGAAAATATACTTCATAACACAGTACACTGTACAATATGTGCCTCTCCTAACCTCTCCAATAAGTTCCACATATCAATGCAGTCTGATATTGACATGGAACTTTGAAAGGAGAAATTCCCATTTTTTTCCGTGATGCACAGAACATACGTATGAATTTTATAAATCTGCACCTTAAAAAAAAAAATTCGTTCACCGCCTTCAAATATAGCTTGTGTATAACATTATTATCCATGCGTTTGCTTGTCCGCTCATGATTTCTACATTCCAATATGCAATACCTCTTGCTTATTTTCTGGAAAAAAACAATTAATAAATTTGCATTGAATAATTTGATACTATAGTCATATATAGTGCATTCTCAGCAGGTTGCGGTGGTTATCGCTTAATTTATGCTTATAACTCCTGTGCTATATCATCATTATTTAAATTATGTAAAAATGTACGTAAATTATGCATCATGACGTAAAAATTATGTGATAATTTTAATCTATATCTATATATATGCAGTAATCACAATGAATTGTTCAAATTTACGATTTTGGTTTTCTTTTCGAGCGTTTCGCGTTGGAAATCTGATCACAGTTTTTTGAAGACAATCTTGTTCAGAAATTATACGTTAAATACTGTACTTCATGGAGGCATTTAAGAATAAGAAAATGGATCACGATGATATTTTCATATGAAGGCGATATTTTCCAAATGAGCCAACATAACCGACCAATTCTTCAATAATATTTTATAGAAACTTATTGTCTTATTCTGCATCTGCAGTTCTTTCAAAATTGACGCGTTTTTCGTGTAGCTTATGTTTTAGAGTTCTCTATAGACTCTAGAGAAATTTTTTCTGCTACATGATGCTTCGTTTCTTCGAGATACTGCATGTAATGTACAGTACTTCAATCAAAAATGGATTTTCCATCAGGGCCTTGTGGAGAAATAAAACAATCATGCGAACCAACATCAGTGGAAGGACATTTTGAGCGAGAAGTGATTCAGGTTTCAGTGATCCGAGATGAACAGATCATCGACACAGTTTTCACGGTTTCTCTGGTTTGCCTCGTCGTCATCGCCTACATCAACATGGGCTCAACCCTGGATCTAAGCATAGTCAAGGCAAACTTGAAGCGACCGAAAGGACCAGCTGTCGGCTTGTTTTGTCAGTACATATTCATGCCATTGGTGAGATTTNCCTGTCCTAATTCTGGCAAATGCCTTTTTTTCAAATGAAAGTTACTAATTTCTGCAAATACCTGCGCTGTCATATATTTTTTGCAGACTTTATAGTTCTTCATCTTGGATTACATTTTAAATACCCTTCGTCCCTTTTTCTCCATGTGCATTTGTGTACAATGCCACATTCACTCAAAAAAAGGCTTCAAAGATTATGTGTCAACTTTTTGATGACAGATTTTTGAAAAAAATTCGAATTGTTCATAAAAGACCTCGCGATTTTTTTCTCAGTTGATTGATAATATATTGGCTTTCATTCTGAAAGAGAAGAGGCTGAAAAATATGTATCTTGCCGAAAGTTCAGAAAGTTTTTTTTTTGGAAAAAAATCATGGGACAAAATCCAATGAATTAGTGCCATTGCCTGAATATAAATATACATTAATTCAAATTAAAACTTACTTAACCATATCACTCACTATATTACTCATTATAGTTTGCCATGGTTCGATTTCACAAATTGTATTCATGTCCTTCCACAGCATAGAGAGTGAATGGAATAATATTTAAACTGACCTTTTTTAGGACTTGAAGGTTTTCTTTTTTCATATACTTGTTGTGCATTGAATCTTCTTTAAGAGGGAATATTTTAGCTAGAAGTCTCTAAATTAGCTTATTAATAATGTATTTAGTTACAGTTGAGCCTCCCCTAGGTCAAATTTCAAGGGACCAGAAAAAAATCAACTTTGGGAGGTTTCAACTTAGGGAGATTTAAAGTTATAGAGGTTTGAGTAGTGGAACCGATCATTTCTTATGAGAAACATAGAATTCACAAAATTGTAAGTGGTAATCTTCTGGGCCTTAAATTGCTTCCTGAAAGAGTTTACAGGAGGCTGAACTTGGAGGCAGGGGTTCATTTGCCTGATTTAGCCTGTCAAATCCTTACAAAGCACATCAAATTACATTTTTATTCCTTTTCTCTTTTATATGTCTAGAAAATAATGTCTCCACAAATTTGACTTACTTAGGCTTTAGAGGAAAAGTCTTTGTGTTTGGAAAGTAAAACATTGTTTCTATATGAGGGAACTCAGAGGGGTACTTCAAAAATTCAAATTCGGGTAAGGAATTCAACTTAAAGAGGTTCAACTTTTCAAGGTTCAAATGTATCAATTTATTAATCAATGTAGCACTCTTGATAATAGAAATCTATTAATTGTTTATTTCATTAAGTCTCAAAACAATAAGACAAGTGAGCAGTAATCATAGCGTAACTTCAGCATTACACACCTGAATGATTCATCCAAATTTCTAACTTTTTTCCATTTTCAAAGGATGATTTATTATGAAGTATACTACCAGATGAAAATTAAATTATTTTAAAGTGGTTTTATTGGCTCATGAGCCTGGATGACGCATGGAGATACATCCTTTTGCCAGTTTTCCTTATCTGGAATTTTATTTTACTAATTTTTTCTTTTATTCCCCAATGCAGATGTCATTTGGGCTTGGATACGTTTTCCTGAAAGAAGACACAGCTCTGAGACTGGCACTGTTGGTAGTTGGCTGCAGTCCTGGAGGTGGAGCTTCCAACATTTGGACAGTTCTTCTCAATGGAAATGTGAACCTTAGCGTCACAATGACTTTTGTGTCAGCCATTGTGTCATTTGGTGAGCATATGAAAACTATTTATAGTAATCAGCAATAGGAAGGGAAAATTACTTCCAAATCTTGAATCTTAACAGGAGAAACTCACATATTTTAAACCAGCTGCAGTCATCAATTATATAGACAAAGGAAAAACAGGACATAACTGAACATGCACCTTATTGTCATCTCAAAAAATGCAAAAACATTCATACAGTTACAAATTTGAAGTAAAAAGATGACAATATGTAAAATATATTAAACCATGCAATTGATTATCAGCAGTTTGGGAAAATTACAGTTCACTATATACAAGATCAACAGTTTAATTTATCAGGTGGACTCTCTCTACGGCGGTTTTTTTCTGAATAGCGAATTGTTCTTTGGTTTCTTATGGTTCTCTCCCCACTCCCCAGCAATTTATAGGCGGCGGTTACCCATACATAAAAAAATGCTGGCCCCTTTATTGGATTTTGCTGTAGAGATAGATTTCATTTGTATGTATATACTTGGGAACAGATTTTTGACATGGCAGCTCCATAGTTTCCTTTTTAAAGAATATGATGTGATCTCTCAAGATTTAAGACAGAACAGCTTAAATGCAGTAATTTGGTGTCCCTTCCATGTTGGGAGAGCATAAAGATGAAACCTCACCTCATTTTTTTCATGTATGTAACAGGTCTTCTAAGATGTAGTATCCCAATTTAATAATGAAAGGCCTTAAAATTTTTACTGAGGTAGGTTTTGCCCTGAGAGTTTTGGGATGGATTGCTGGGTTACTTGATGCAGAAGTTTTAATTGCATTGCTGGTTTTGAGAGCAATGGCAGGGATCACCTCAAAATTTGAATTAGGGAGACTCTTTGATGGCTGAGGTAAGTTCAACTTTACAACAATACAAGGGTTCTTACAAAAGATATCAGAATGGCGGAATTGCCTTGGATGACCTGAAGGCATCCCATAGAAAGAATGCCAAGTTGATTTCAAAAATTCTGAGGGGAAAGCTGGGCTACAACAAAAAAAGGGCGCCTCATTTTTTGAGTGGTGAGCAAAACTACAGTACGTAGAAATGAATTTTGCAAAAAACTTAAAAAAATTGTCAAACCAGGCTGATTTTTTTTGTGTGCCAAAGAATATGTTTTTGCTAGAGAAAAATTTTTTTTCAGCTCAATTGTATGCCATTTTCATTGCTACTCTGAGAACTTTTGTTAGAACCCTCGTATATATTTCAACTACTGCAATATGACACAATTTTCTTTTCTGCCGTACTGATTTTTCAGCATCCATGCCTGCTTGGATTTACAGCCTTGGACCACAGATTTCCGACGAAGAACATTTCAAGATACCCTATGGAAACGTAGCTTCTTCCACACTGAGTTTCATCATTCCAACTGGGATCGGGTTGCTTGTGAACAGAAAATGGCCCAAGGCTGGAAAGTGGATGAGAAAAATCTTGAAGCCCTTTGGAGCCTTTTTCATACTTTACGCGGCCACATTCGGGGTTTATGCCAATTGGTATGCCGTCGATTTGGTCACTTGGCAAGTAAGAAAATTATCTTCTGTTTTCATCAAATAAAAATGTGATTCAATTTTCTCTAAAAATCAATTGACAGACGTACTCTTCAGCTGGTGCTTCTAACTTGTGTTTCCATATTTTCGTATCCTAAGGCGGAATTGTTATATTAAATAGAACAGTTTCACTTATATATGCGAAAGAAAGGCGAATTAATTTTGCCAGTGACTCAGAGTCCTTTTCTTATTGACACACGTCATTCAACGTCATTAATACAAATCTTTTGTATAAATGCAGCGTTGCTTTCACTTGAAAATAAAATAATTCCTGATGAAAATAAAATGGAAACGTTTATAGGAAATTTTTCTAAGTCTCACATTAAAATAGAGCTAAAGAAAAATTTAATGTTTCAAAATTTTTAGGGTATAGTATACTTCTTACATCAGGTGAGGAAAATGCATAATACTGTACACGATGAATGAGTTTCTATGCTGATCACTGAGGAATTCAATTTTTTTCAAAAACCCATTTTTTCAATTATACCAAGTGATTTATTTTTCATGTGTTTAATGATGGATTCAAATGTTTCATAATGCATTCTAATGTTTCCTACTTTATTCAAATGATTCATAATTCATCCAAGTGATTCATTATTCAAGTGATACAGAATTCTTTCAAGTGATTCTCAAATGAATCCACAATAATTAATCTAAATGATTTATAAACTGTATAAAGGTATTAATCTAAATTATTTATAAACTATATAAAGTTATTACTATAAATGATTTATATACTATATAAAGCAATTAATCAAAATGAATCATGTACTTTACGTCGCAAACAGTAATTCATCCAAATTAGCCATATACAGCCATGCAAGTGATTCAGTTTTTTCTAGTGATA